GATGCCCTATGGCAGTGATGGCAAACTTTTTAGAGCTTTCAGTGATGCCAACAGCTCACTGTGGCCCATGTGCCACAGGTTTGCCACCACTGCCCTGTGGGGCTCATACCTGTCCGATGTGGTGGTGGAGAGGTTTAAATGAAGTAATATATGTAAAGCGTGCAGAAGAATACCCAGCACACGGCACTGTATCGGCATTTGCAGTTATCCCCACCACTCTGCTACAGTTTTGTTTATCAACATTTGAGCAGGAATTGGGGTGCCAGGGTTTCTCAAGCCACTGTGGAGCTGAAATTGTCTGTACTTTGGGGATGACTTTCTGCATTGTGTGAACCTTGGCCACTGTTTTAAGTTTGGGGTGTTAACTGAGGGATGCATTTCAATGCACTCCCCACACTGGCATAGATCATCGGGGTAGTATCTATTTGAGGTCTAACATAGTTCTAGCTGCAGCTCTCACTTATTCCTGCTTATTTCGAAGCCAGCAGCCTTTGCCTGCAACTTGGGAATACAGTGGGATTCACATGGGCACACGTGTAAAGATGACAGTGTACGCTTACTATTTAAAATATTCACCAGCACTGTGACAAGTGAATTATTTTATTCCTTGGTTGTTGATATGCCTGCATCGAGCTGAGGGTGTAGGATGTTGCGAAAACCCTTCCCCTTCCCACATCCTTCACCCACAGTTGAATGTGTCTGTGACTGTGGGTTATGCTTGTTCTCTGTGTCCGCACTGTTACTTGGAGGCTGAAACCATGACTCTTGTTTCCTTCCTCTCTGAAAGTCTTGGCACGGTTCCAGAAGCTGGGTCTAGGCCCAATCCCTTGTGTATGGCAGAGCCTCCTGGGCAACGGTGTGGTCCCCACAGCACATCCTTCACCCACAGTTGAATGTGTCTGTGACTGTGGGTTATGCTTGTTCTCTGTGTCCGCACTGTTACTTGGAGGCTGAAACCATGACTCTTGTTTCCTTCCTCTCTGAAAGTCTTGGCACGGTTCCAGAAGCTGGGTCTAGGCCCAATCCCTTGTGTATGGCAGAGCCTCCTGGGCAACGGTGTGGTCCCCACAGTGACCTGCTGACGTTGGTCCGTGATTTCATAGTGTGGGGGTATTGCAGTCCTGGTGGGGACGTCTGTTCTGCAGAGCTCACCTCCACCATGCAGATCTTGTTTCCTTATATCAGGAATGTGATCCCCGGGCTTTCCAAAGCCATGCAGTTTGATTTATATCCCAGTGACCTGGGACTTAGCAAACCTCCACTGCCCACCACTCATCATATTTTCAGCCCCTGGGAAAGAGGCTCTGCACTTTCTTCTGGTGTTTCCACTTTGTGTCCAGCTGGATGTCTGAGCTGAGAACTGACTGCTGCTCAGGCCAGCTACAGACCCTTCGGGGACCTCGGGAATATACCTTGCTCCAAAGAGCACCGTCCCGATGGCTCCCTTGCTGAGCTGTGCGCTATAAGGCCCATTTCCCCTCCATGAATTTAATCCTTGTGTGAGCAGACTTGGGCAGCACGGGACAATGTTCAAAGCCGGCTGCTGATGCGTCTTCCACCATTGGGCTGCTTGACCTAAATGCTCCTCCATGGCTCCTTATTTTTCTCCCGCTTTCTAGGAAGGAGCTTTCCGGAAGCACAATCTCTATCATAGTTTCTCTTTCAGTCCACTTTGTCTTTCACCCTGACTGCAGATACACCCATTCTCACGCAGAAGCGCTGGTTCAGAGAGACCTTCGACCACCTGTCCTCACTTGCTAGCTCCGCTGAAGCGGTAGATGCTGGTGTTCACCTGTTATCTGGGTAAGAGAGGGAATCTGGGGTCTAAAAGAATCTGGATGGATTACCGAGCTCACCACGAACTATTTATTGAGTATCTGCCCGGAACAGAGTGCTGAATTAGATTGGGAGCATTTAGAAAGGACATTTTAGGCTTTATTCTAAGGAATGTGAGGAAGACAAATTATAGTATTCGATTTTTAAACAATAAGTGACCATGTCAATTTCTTATCACAAACACATTTTTGTGTTTCCTTGGGGAATGTGTAGTGATTTGAAAATACACGTATAGCAAAAAAATCAAACCAAAACACCCCACAGAGCAGGTAAACGTTGAATTTGGGCCATGTGGAGAGGGAGTGGCTGATGAAAGGCAAACAAGGATGATATTGGAATGAGTGCAGAGACCCAGAAGAGTTGGATTCTTTATTTGCTATTCCTGAGAATGAGGTATTCCAAAGAAGTACCTTTTGTGGGTCACTAAATTTGTCATTTAAATGTCATTTGGGGAAAAAAAGTATTTTGACAGGGTTAGCACACTTCTGTTTGATTTTTGTATAATTAAAAGAAAGGGTTTGTTTGTTTTGATTTTTGAGGCAGGGTCTCACTAGGTAGTTCAAGCTGGCCTTGAACTCACTGTGATCCCCTTGCCTCAGCCTCCCTAAAGCTGAGATTGCAGGTGTGTGTCACCGTGCCTGGTTTAAATGAGAGTTTCAAAATAAATCATTGTAGTTTTTTTTCTTCTTTTGGTTTTTTTGAGACAGGGTCTCACAATGTGGTTGAGACTGACCTGGAACTCACTATGTAGCCCAGGCTGGCCTCAAACTCACAACGATCCTCCTGCCTCAGCCTCCCGAGTGCTGGGATTACAGGTGTGCACCACCACACCCGGCTCTCATTGTAGCATTTTTAACACATACTAGCACTTAAAATATGACAGTGTCCTTCTACATCTTCTCTTTCACTTTAGTTTATTAGTACATGTGTGTAGCATGTAATGTTTACATTCCTGTGGGAAGTTGGTACTTGGACATAACACAGCTTCATTCCTTTTCCATCCCCTTTCCTTTTCCTCCCTCCCTTCTGTATCTCTTTAAACAGATCACTAAGCATTTTACCACTTTTAATTTGTCTCAGTGTTGTCAGGATATTGGGGGAAGAGATGTAACTCCCAAACCTGCTAGATATCTGATATGTGAGTTCATGTTCTTCAAAATTGAAGAATGAATTCTAGGAACAACGGAGGTTAAGAGTAGGAAGAATTTATTGAGGGGGAAAGAAAGCTTCTGTCTAAGAGTGACAGAAGCAGAACCAGAAAGTGGGTTGCCTGCCCACCCCACTTCTCCAAGATGTTTTATACAGCCAAGCCATGTGGTGAGGTGGGTACAAAGTGGGACAAAACTGTAAGACCCAGTGGAAAATTACAAGGTGGGCATGAGGTGGGGCAAAACCCTGACCAACCAATAAAATTACAAGTACAGTCATCCAGTAATATTGATTAAATGGGGGTCAAATGGGGAGAAAGTACTGCAGCAAGCATACAAGGATTTTCAGTAAGGGTGGGGGTCAGGGATATTTCCTGGAAAAGCTGGCTTAAGACCTTGGCCCCACACCCAGGTGATGGATACCTATTTAGAATATCAATCAGTGCTATTTATCCCCAGAGGAAGCACAGAGATATAGTAGTTTCTCTCCTTTCACAATTCTGGCCTTCTGTGAATGTGTCTTGATTATCCTCCATGCTGGCTCCTTGCTGTGTTGGCTCCTTGAGGGTGGCCCTGTTTAACTGCCTACAGGATATCTAATTAACTTACCTGTCTGCAATAGTCATGTGACACAAGACACATGTTGTCTGTGTTGTCCTGTGTGACAAACAATTGTGTCCTTCAACCTTTAGAAGGCCAGAGGGATAATTGCCTTTTACTAAGTTCTCAAAATCACTACATGTTTGCATCACTAAAACTATTTTAAAATAGTGCCTATCTGCCTTTTTGAGGAAGCTTCCTACCAACCTTCTCTGCTGTGTGTACACATACCTAGTCAGCAGGATCTCTCCCCTTTTCCTCTTGCCTTCCCTCACCATATAAAAATCAAAATTATATTGAAGTCACTAGTTTCACTGAAGTCTCTACCCAGCACAGCAGTTTTGCTTCTCTAACATGCTGTGATTGAATCTTCTCTGTCACTATTCTAGAGCAGTTGTTGAACCTCTTAGAGAAATTGTTCTTAGAGTTAATGGTCATACTTTATTTTTGTCCAAAATCAGTAAGAACCAATATAACCCACAAACATTAGGTCTACATAATGTTTGGAAACAGGCATTATAAAATTCATATGTCCTTTCAAGATTAAGACTTTATAAAAGTGCTGGGCATCTTTGGTATAAGTGTATAACCTTATTCATCTATTCATTCCTTGAAAACCTTTTATTAAGAAATCATCAGTACCAGATATTCTTCTAGGTGTTAGGGATATAGCAATGAGCAATTTGGTAATATTACTTAGTGTATAGGAGATGTTTAATAAACGTGTGTTAAGTGACTTTTTAAGGAAAACATATGCAGTCCAGCCCTCGTGTATCTTATGGGCATATGTAGAGAATGAACAGGACATGAAAGACCAAAGGAAAGAGTACAGAGTGCTATGGAATCAGTGTCTGGAGAAGAAACTTGGTGTAGGAAGTTATGAGACTCCGTACAGAACAACATGCCTCGTCAGAAACCCTCAGGATGAATGTAAGATGTTGTAGTGATATTGTGGAGAGGAGGGGTCAGAGACACGATGGGGACTGAGAAGAGAGCGTTCCAGGTTAAAGGATCAGCGCAAAGACCTGAGTCTTAGTCCACTGTCCTATGTCAGAGGCACTGAAGGAAGTCCAGTAACGGGAAGCCACGCAAGGATTTTGCTCAGTGAAGGAACCAGTTATATTTTATCTGTAGGGTAAAGAATGGATCTGGGAGAAGAGCGGTGCTGACAGATTAAGACAGATGAGGTGTTGAGAGTAGGGACAGACAGTAGATGGGTTTGAGAAATGCTGAAGAGGAGATGTGATAGGATTTGATAGTTGATGGTGTGTGGAGTTGAGTGGGGAGAGAACCAAGGATGATTCTAACATATCTCACATTAGCACCTGAGTGCATGAGCATCATTTTCTGAGTTGGGTACCACTGAGGACAGATTCGGGTATGCTCGTGACTACATCATTAGCCCTCAAAGTATGGTTCTTGCTATTTTAAAGCAGTGAGGATTAGATTTGTTGATGGAAACAATCCGCTACTTATAAAGCCAAATACATGTGTAGCATATGTCAGTTGCATTATTATAGGCTCCTCTAAGGACCACCATCGCTCCAGGCTCCTACGCTCCCAGCAAGCTGGGACCTAACGAGGCTGCTCTGTACAACTCTTGGGTTTTTTCTACTCCTCGAGTCAGATCTGATGACTTGCAGTTGAACTTATGATTTGTACCCCCGGCTTCCTGCATGTTGTGTGTCTAGGCAGGGCTACAAATTATTCTCATTTAGATAACTTGTTCAAAATTGAGGCGAATCTTTGACGTTTTGCTTACAATGTATATAAAGCATTGTGAAAAGAGAAAAATAGTTTTCCTCAAAAATGCAGTCAGAAGTAAAGAAAGAAAATCTGGGCAGAAATTTGTTTTAGAGAAATTGAATTAAATTCAATCTTTAAAAGGCATGTTATTGTATGTATGTATGTTTGTACTTATAGGGCTGGGAATTGAACTCAGGACCTGGCACATGTTGAGATAACCCTCAGCCTGGTTTGTTAGTTTTATTTATTTATTTTCATTAAGTTTATTGGTACTTTTTAGGTATACAGTACAGTTACATTCATCATTGGGATCTTGTAGCTTTACATGATGCTTGTTAGTTTTAAAATGCCTTATTCCTCCTTTTGAAAACATCTGAAATTTAGCTTCTAAGTTATCTAGATCCTTTTCTCTTTGTGTTTATAAGAAGTAAATTCTCAAATGCTGCAAAGAATGTCAAATGGAGCTTACTAGAAGTCTATTATTTCACAAAGTTTCAGGGAAAATCTCCACTCTCTGTGTTTGAGTTGGCAGATATTTCGGAGCATTCCTACAGAGCAGGTGCCATTCTGGGCTGACGTGGTTCTGGGATTTCGAAAGATGACTGAGGCTGAGCTGAAGAAATTCCCCCAATATGTGTTTGGTCATGCTTTCACTACTCTGAAATGTGAAACCTCTGTCTACCTCCCGTGGTTGGAGAAAAGGTCAGTTAAAATAGCTCTTTGCTGCTTTCTTTATCTGTCGTAGCCATAAATAACTTCACAGCCATTCCTAAAACACTGGAAATTCTCCAGGGTCCCACGGGCTCTTTTGCATTTGTGTCTTGCTGCTCATAATGGGTAGGCCCCGGCTCTCTCAAATAATCCAAACATAGTATTTGTGTTACAAGGACTAAATCCATACCACACCCAGGCAAACATGTTTTATGTCTATTTTCAGTGTGCACTGTGATGTCTCATTTGTCCCTCTGCCCCTGTAAAACCTGTGTATTGAAACAGTTTCTTAGTTTCCTCATCTTATAAAAATGGAGAAGTTGGAGAACTTACTCCCAGGATAAAATGACATGATTTAGTTCTTTGCCTGAGAAAAGCTTGTTTACATAAATGACTTTTGACTTTTTTCTTATCGTTGGATAAAAAAAATATAGCTTCATTATTTTCTTTTTCATGAATAAGAACTCTAACCCTGAGGACCTGTACAGAGTATGTAATTGCTTCCTTTCTAAATTCAGTCCTTAATACCTTGAACTTGCATTCTGGCTTGGTTTTCAGGACTTCCTGTTTCTAGTTAGGAAACACATTAAGAGTATTGTTTTTGAGACCTGTCAGCAACTCCCTCTTTTGTTTAGTCTGGACGTTGCAGGAGGTTTTCAGGGTTGTGAAATTCAGGCCATGCCAGTGCCCAATTCTGTGTACAGGGTGAATATCTCTTATCTGAAATGCTTGGGATCAGAAGGGCTTTGAATTTGGATTGGGGGAATATTTGCATGTATAGAACGAGAGCCAGTGTCCAGCCAGGTGGCTGGTGTGGTGGAGAGAGAGGGGCATCTGCCCCCTTCTCTCCCATGGGAGGTTTTGCAAGTGAGAGAGGACTCAGCCCATGGCAGCCTCCCAGGGCCAGGATTTGAAGCCCAGGGGAGGTAGCACAGTGTGGTGGGGAGGGGAGGGAGTGGGACGCCAGCTCACACTGTGTACTGCCACCCACAGGCCTCCCCCAGGCAGACCCAGATGGGCAGCTGTACAATCTCTGCCTGTTCCCCACACCCAGGGTCTGTTTTGTTGCCTCCTACACCTCTTCCACACAATGCCAGTGTTCCGCCTTCAGTGTTCTGACTCAAAAGTGAACATTTCACTCGGCAAGCCATACAACAGGCAGCTTCAGCCTCAGCACCAATCTTCTATCACAACCTAGATCTTTGGTATTTTTCAAAAAACAGAAGAGACCATATCGAATAATGCTCAATAATACCCAGAACAAACCAACAAACAAGCCACCCTCGAGGTCATATTTTGTATCTTTGATGGTAGCTGCCTTTTTACTTGTCTTTTGTAGGAAATGAATCATACAGGCCATAATTCTCCCGTTGCACAGCCTACCTTAATAAATTTTCCTGGAGGGACTGGAGCCTCCTGCTTTTGATGCCATTCAAAAAGCTGCATGGCTTTGCTGTGCTGGGGGCCTGTAGCTCAGGCCCACTGATTTCTTTCCCGAGCCCATGGCCCATCCTATGGCCCTGAGGAGGCCTGCACTGACCACAGAGGTACCAGCCTGAGCTCTCCCAGTAACTTTCTTCCCACTCTCTGATAAAGCCTCTCGGTGACTTTCTCTGGGAGGCTCTTCTGTTCCCCACCCTTTTCTTTTCCTGTATCTGTGTTCTCCCACTTGCCATGACTCGTTTGACTTCCTCTGCAGCTGTACAGAAGTACATACCTATAGCACACATACGCAGCTGGACAGTTTGCCAAAGCCTGATAGGTACCCACCTTGCAAAGGTCTCTTCCAGTGCGGAGCAGACCCCTGTTCCTCCCACCAAACCCACAGCAGGCCTGGTGGAGCACAACCTACATTCCCAGTGCTCTGGGATTATCCCCACCCCACCCCTGCCAATCGGAAGGTCAGGAGGCAAAAGGCCCCAGACACAGGGTGGAACAGAAGCACTCCCTTTTCTTCCTAGCTAGGCAAGAGGGACGTGGAGGTGGAAAATGACTGCGTTTTTTTCTAAGGATGGCCATATGTCTGTAAGGAACAGACGTGGTAGCCATGGAGGGTACAGTAGCCATGGGGGCTTCCATTATGGATTCAGGAGCTGCCCCAGGACAGCTGCAGGTGTGGATTTCTTCCCCTCAAGCCTGCTTGCTAGATGGACTGAATAGCTGCCACCTCCAGGACAGCCCAGCTTGTACAACCCTGGGCCTCATCCACACCCTCTTCCTCTGTGCTGGGACAGGGCTAAGAATGATTAATATGAGTTTATGAAGTAGACAGGCCTGGGTAGACGTTTGGAGAAGTGTGAAATAGAATGTGGTTATTTTTAAAAATATTATTATTATTATTATTCTTGTAGTGGTAGTAGTGATTGAACTCACTGGCTCACACATGCTAGGCAAGTGCCCTACAACTGAGTTACACCCTCAGTCCTTTCATTATTATTATTGCTTTTAGGTATAGCCCTGTTAAATTGTGTAGGCTGGCCTAGAACTTGCAAACCTCCTGACTCAGCCTTCCTAGTAGCCAGGATTTCAGGTATACACCACTCTGCAAGGCAAATGCAGTTTATTTCCTTTGCAAGGCAGCAATTGAGGACTACAACGGTAGGATGAGACAACATTTTCAGGTTAAAATTAGAGTCTATTTGCTTAATTGCCTTATAAACCTAAAATGCACTTTTAAATTCTATGATGTTACAGTGGGGACAGCAGTGTAAGTGTCGCCACGAAGAGACAGCAGTTCTTTTCCCCTGTAAGTCTGTGTACATAGCACTGCTTGCCAATTGAGATTAGTTTTCTTTCTTGTTTTTGGACACACTGAACACAGTTCATTTCTCTGACCACTGTTAATAAGGCATCATGCTTCAGATTGAAAGCAAGGAGTAATTTTAAAAACTGATGACGTCTCCTCATGCTTGCATAACACATTGCAAAACTGCTCTGCCTAATAAAGTATTTCCACCCAGCATCTCTCGGAGGCCGCCCTGCCTTTCCTGTCTGTCTTCACACAGCGATGCAAAGGCTCCTAGTTTTCTCACCCCAGCTAACTTTAGGACAGCGACCCCGCTTTGGACTGTCCCACCTTCCTGGGCTCAGAGTTAAGCAGGCACCATAGGCAGTGGAGAGAAATATCTGCTTCCCAGCTCTGAGTCCCCTGCTCTCAGGCAGCCCTGCTGGACTTGAGCTCCCCAGTCCTCTCAGAATCAGTGCCCTGAGCCTCAAGTCCTGGTCCCTGAGGGGGGACCCTGAGGGGGCCTGGGACCCCAGTGTAGGATGGATACAGTGCCACCCCTCCTTCTTTCTGCTGGGCCGTAGAACCGCATCCAAAGCACCTGGTCTGTGAGAAGCAGCTCATACAGGATCCGATCTTCTCATGCAGTGTGGGCTGAGGTCCCCAGAAGGGAGTTTTCCCTGTCTTTGCATAACCCAGAGGCTCTTTGGATAATATTCTCCAGTCAGGTACACTCTGTCTCAAAGGAATATTAAAATGTCTCTCTTTTCTCACATTACGAACCACTCAGCAATTTCAAGTGACCAAAGGAAAAAAAAAATCTAGTTTCTGTTCATTAAGTTCCCTAAACAATTAAGGGTCTAAATTTCAGCGGTTGGGTCCCAGACCCGTGGGTTCCAGGGCACTATGTTGGCTCTGTGGGTTTATCTGTGTCATGTCCGTGCCCCTTCTGTGTCCCTCCTTCCTGCCCTGTCCTCCCACTCGCAGGCTCTAAGGCCCCTGCTCCCTCAGGCAGTACCCACGGTCCCAGGGCTGCCTGGACAGCATATCCACAACATGCAGGCCTCCTCTTCAGTGTTGCCATGGTGGAAATTGTCTGTAATCCCAAGAGCACGAGGGATTTGAGGTGGGAAGTGGAGAGAGACGGAGGGAGGGAGAGAGGTTGAAGAGAGAGAGGGAAGGGAAGGAGGAGGAGGAGAGGGGGAGAGGAGGGAGCAGTGGAACAGTGATTATAGCCAGCTCACTTCCCTTCCTTGCTGAAACTCCCAGTGAGTTGAAGGAAGAGCCCCAAAGACCACCATCTCCAGTGTGTATGATCAGGTTGGTCAGTCCAGCAGGGGGGCTGGCTGTTAGGGTTGGCAGAATGGGCATTTTTACATTTCAGAGCGATGATCCCAAAACGTTGGGCCAGGACTGTTTAGTGAGCAGAGGTCCTCTTGCTTAATAGGTGGTTGGAGCAATGGTATTTTTTCTCTCCAGGATAAAATCTTGGTCATTTTCAGGAAGCCCCAAAAGGACCGTTATCAAAGCCCCTTAAAACTTCCAGAATAGCTGCTACCTCACAAGAGTGCAATAGCCACCTTTCAGGTACCTGTCACCTAAGTTGATATCAGCTTTCGGGTACAACTTCCTATGCCCTGGAGTCATCGTGATGCCAGGAGGTATATACTAATGACAAGGCACTGCCCTGCAGTCACAGGGCTGGGGCGCATTTACTAGGTTCCTCCTGGGGTACAAGGCTCGGGAGGGAGCCAGGATGGCTAGTTTGGCGGGGCTGCCCACAGCCCATCCGGTGACCCCTGCCTTAGTCGCCAGTTACAGGCTGCACTTCCCAGTAGCTTCAGCAGGGGGCCATGGAAGTGGAAAGGAAAAACATTTGCATATACTGAATGCTTACATAATCATCAAAACAGATACATGAGCCAGGCACTCTTCTCCCTAGGTTTTAGTTAAGGAAACAAGTCCAGCAAATTTGTAAAATGTGCTTATGTCTCAAGCCTGGTAAGTCCTCTGATTTCTGTGAATTAGGAAAATAATTCTGAGTTCTAATTGAGATGCCTGGAGCACAGAACATAATGTTCAAATGTTCCTAAGTGGAACCCATAGTTCATTAAAAGAAAAAACAAATCAACATAATGTTCAAATAATGATCAACAAAAAACTTTTAAAATCCAAATGTCATACTTCATTAAACCCAAGTAATATTCAGGTGTGGAGGCCAGGCACATTCACAGGTGGTATAGTGGATCCCATATTTCACAGTAGTGTAAGACACTCCAACCCACTTTTTCTTTTTTAAAAACATCTTTAACAAGGGCCGGGGATTTAGCTCAGTGGTTCTGCCTCCGGCCTCGCAAGCACAAGGACCTGGGTTCGATCCCTGGTACCAAAAAACACAAATCTTTAATGAACAACTGCAGTGTGTTATGCATTGTGTCAGATCTTTTCCAGACATCTTCTCATTTCATTTTCATGATGACCTATAAAGTCAGCGTTAATCTTCCCCCATTAGAGGTGAAGAAGGACTAAAGCTTATAGAGAAGTTGGAGAACTTGGCAAGGCCATATGAAGAGTCAGAGAGAGGCCCCCTAAACCCTACCTGAAAGTCTCCTTTTGGTGTTTACTTCATTAAAGGTTAGAGCCACACTGCAGTGTGTTGGTCTGTGTAATCACACAATTACAGTCTCCTCTTCCTCTCCCTCCTCCCCTTCCCCTTCCCTGTTCTCCTCCTTCTCCTTCTCCCTCTTCTTCTTTGAAAGGGTCTCACTGTGCAACTCAGGCTGTCCTGAAACCTGCCATCATTTCATCTTGCTCTCCAGAGTGCTGGGATTATAGATGTGTGCCGCCACACCCAGCTTCCAATCTACTCTTCTTTCTATGCCAGTGTTAAAAAAACAAAGCAAAACAAAATAATTTGCAGAGCTATTTTACCTTTAAGGGGACTCATCTATCATTGTACATCTAAAAAACATAGTCGAAGCTGTCAACTTTATTGTTTCAATAAGAGAGTGGAGAACTTGTGCTTGTAAAATTTGCTATACTGCTTTTTATGTTTGAGCTGTTTTGAGAAAGGGAGGGAGGGAGGGAAGGAGGGATGGAGGGAGGAAGAGAGAGAGAGAGAAAGAGAGAGAGAGAGAGAGAGCCCCAGCTTCATTCTGTCTCTTTTAGCCGCTATTAGTTACGCTGAAGGCTTCCTTCATTCTCTGTGGCCCCAAGGGATGGATGTTTGCAGATTCTTTGCTTTGGTTTTCTGATCTTGGTAAAGGGCACATTGTTTTCCATGGATTTTCAGAATAACAAGCAAGGATATGCAGGGTGAAAGCGCCCATACCCAGAACTTCTGTTCTATTACTTTGGGACATGGTGCTTGAAAGGCCCATTCGTGCTTCATGGTAAGCACACAGCAAGCTGAGATCACTGTGGAGCAAGAGGTAGCCTCTGAGTTCTCCCAGCCTAGCCCAGGATGTTCCCAGGGAGACCCTCTGTGAACATTTGTTGAGTGAACACAGGAATTTAACCCAGAGGTTTCCAGCTGTTCTTCACACTGCTCACACCGGAATTGCTTCAGAGTCTCTGTGGAGGAAGGGTGCGTGGAGAGAGATGGAGACTGGTCAGCAGCTCACCCTGAGTTAGCTGTAGAGAAACTAGAACTCCATGATAAATTTGCTAATTTAACCGGGCATGGAGGCACATGCCTATCATCCCAGCACTCTGGGAAGCGAGGCAAGAGGATCTCAAATTCGAGCCCAACCTGGGCTACGTGACAAGATCCTGTTTCAAAAGAAAAAAATGTAAAAGGGCTGGGCCTGTAGCTCAGTGCAACGGCCCTGGATTCAATCCCAAGTACAATAAATAAATGACTAAACAAAGAAACAAATCAATGCAAACATCTATTTTACAGATCAGAAGTCAATCTGTGGGGGTTCAGGTCTGTTCTGTGATGCAGTTAAGCAGCAATGTTGGTCTCTTCTACTCTCCTTGACCTGTGGAATTTTCTAGAAAGGGAGTATCAGGAAGTCCATTTCCTACAACTCTCAATACAAATTTCAGCTGAACTTTCTGACTAGGAGATGGAGATAGAGAATTAGAATAACTTCAGAGCCCTTTTTCTCTAAGTTAACATCAGAGACCAAACCGGACCCTCATTTACCATCTTCTCAGCCATGTCTTGCTGGGCTCCTGAGGTTTCTGTCTTTTTTTCTTCTCATGAGGCCTCTGTGTGGGGCTCAGAACTGCTGCTCCTGCTCTCTCGGGGCAGGTAGAATACAAAAACACACACACGCACACACACATGTTTACAGTGTACTTACCCTGCCAGCCACTAATGTTGTCCCCAGTTCCTCTGTCAGCCTTCGATGCCTCTCACACAGGTTTTGTCCCTCATAGCGGTGCCCTGTGTCTAGGCCTTAGGCCTGCATCTATTGGATAGAACCTCTAAAAGTCTTTCATGCTCCCAAGTGACCCGTGAGTATGACTGTAGGTTACATGGGTGAGGATGACATGGCTACTGAGTTTCCATTCTGCATGATGGAAAATGTTCTGGAGGGGTGGAGATGGCTGCACAGCGGTGTGAATGTGTTCAGTGTCACTGAACTATACACTGAAAAATGATCAAATGGTTTCATGTTTCATGTTTTTTAACCACAATTTTAAAAATGATCTTAAGACTTAAATGACTTTTTCAGTATGCATATACTTGGTCCAAAATAATTACCAACCACAACTGTCATTTAGCCCATCGGTTGCAAATATTTTGTGTTCCTCTTTTGCTAACAGTCTAGTAAAGGGGAAGGGGCAGCACCTGCACTGACCTTCTAGTTAAGGAGAGCAGACAGATGCAGAAAAACATGCAAGAGTTACCAGTGTCAGGCTGGAGCTGTAACTCAGCAGCACAGCACCTGCCTGGCAAGCTTGAGGCCCTGAGTTCAATTCCTGAGAAAGAGAGAGAGAGAGAGAGAGTTTCCAGTGTGACAAAATGCCCACAGCAGTAAATTGGGGTGTTAAATGAATGGTATTTTTTTAAATGCTCGGGCATTTAAAGTACCAGATCAATTTCATATTTATTAAGCATCTAGAAAAACATAGGAACATCACAAAAAAGTTAAAAAAAAAAAAAAGCACACAATTTCCTTTGTTTTGGGTTTCCAAAATGCTGTAAGCTCCATTTAGGGTCAACTTTTGGTTTCTGAGGGCATGAGGCAGGTGCTGGGTGGCATTTGATCTGCCTGGGCCCTGGAAGCTCTTGAGGGGTTTGTTTGTCAGATCCCCTCTATGTTGCTCCTGTGTTCCTGTCCTTCACTTCCCTTGAGTGGTTGGGCAGGCGCTACCAGGTCTCACCCAGTGGTCTTTCATCCCCAGGCTGAAGAGCCATGGAGGCCTGCTCCTCCGCAGGCGGATAGAAGATGTGTGGGAGCTCCAGCCATCCTTCGACATTGTGGTCAACTGTTCGGGCCTGGGAAGCCGAGAGCTTGTGGAAGACTCAGCCGTTTCCCCTGTGAGAGGCCAAGTACTCCAAGTGCAAGCCCCCTGGCTGAAGCACTTTATCCGGGATGGGAGTGGGCTGACGTATATTTACCCTGGTGCATCCCATGTCACCTTGGGTGGAACTAGGCAAAAAGGAGACTGGAATTTGTCTCCGGATGCAGAAACTAGCAGGGATATTTTTTCCAGATGTTGCACTCTGGAGCCCTCCCTGCACAGGGCCTGCAGCGTGAAGGAGAGGGTAGGCTTGAGGCCCAACAGACCAAGCGTGCGGCTGCAGAAAGAGGTCCTGGTCAGAGATGGATGGAGGCTGCCCATAGTCCACCACTATGGCCATGGGAGCGGGGGAATCTCAGTGCACTGGGGCTCTGCCCTGCAGGCTGCCAGGCTGGTGAGTGAGTGTGTCCAAGCCCTCAGGTCCCCAGCTCTGACATCAAAGCTGTAGGTGACATGTGAAGACAGCTCACAGCCCCAGATGCTGTTGATGAAAGCACACTTTAAGCTGCAAAACAGGTTCAAATAATTTTTCTATTCCATGAAAATTTAATTAGATATTCTTTGTTTTCTAAGTGAGAAATGATGCAATATGTATTAGCCTGCTTAGGAAGTCTAGACTAACATCATAGGGCATGAAGCCGTATTTTTGTTGAAAATGCTGGTGATATACAGTAAGATTTGCTTTGGATCTGGTGTCTGAGGGTCTATGCTGATTTACATGAGTGTTGAAAGCTATAAAGTTTCAATACTTTTTGGCTCATAAATTTGAGAGAGGAGCTAACATATGGCAAACACTTAAATCACTGTCAGCTGCAGAGTTGTGTATGACCTGCTTAGGTTATAGCCAGATGATCATTGTAACTCCTCGGATAAAATCAATGGTGATTATGCAATGCAGGCTTAATCGAAAGCAAAGCAAGATCAATTCTATTGTTAATGGGACGGCTTCCTCCCCACAGCTGGTGATGATGGTAGAAGACAGAGACTGAGCTCCCTGTGGATGTGGCATCTATCCAGTAGCTGTCTAGGGTCCATCCTCTCAGGGTTGTATGTTTTATTATGCAAGTGATTGGGAGCTGACTTTGCCTCAGCACTTTTGAAGACTGAACAGTGTAAGCAGCCAAAGAGCTAATCTGCTGAGTGAGATGGAACAACCACTCTGAATGACATATTACCAAATAGTGCTCTGCAGGTTGCTAAGCAGTACTGAACAGGAGGGGTTTGTGTTTCATGACAAAATGAGTCTAGGAATTGCAGAGTTAAATGAATTGAACCTGGCTTATTGGCTCAGGTTTTTGTAGAGCCTTTGAAATGTTTATGCATTGTGAACTCTCAGGAGCGTTTTTAGCTGGGTGGGTGGGAAAGGAGATGGTATTCACTGAGGTAAGAGCGCTGAAGAAGAAATGTACTCTATTTTAATTTGGGAGAGACGACATGTTTGGCAGTAATTCTATTTTGGACATCCTGGGGAAGACAAAGTTCCCAGCACAGCTTGGTTTTTTTTTCTTTGTTTTTTGAGCTTTTTCTGTGATTTTATTCAAAGAGGACATTCTGCTGGGGATGTGGAGACACCAGTATATTAAATGGCATTAAAATTCTGAAGTTAAATCACGCACAGAAGCCTTTCTACAGCTGTCCGCCAGGGGGTGGTATTGTATCAACTCACATTAAACTGGTACATTTGAAATTTAAATAGACTAGAAATTTAAAAAAATACTAAGCATGTGGAGAGCGTGACTTTTTTGAGGTTTTAGAGTTTATATGGTCAAAATTCAATTCTTTTTAAAGAATGTGAGAAACTTGTGTCAACAGAGATTGAAAATACGTACTCATGAACAGTACACATTTTAAAAGAGGAGATAAATGTAATGCTTAAAAATAAAAATGAAGGATGCTGTCCAGACTAGGTTCTGTCTCAGAATGGCACGGCGATTTCAAGTGCACGCCTTCGTTCTCACCCCCGTGGTCTGGATACTGCAGTGGCTCCTCGTATGCAGGCCATGGCCTCTGCTGATCTGCTACCTTCTTTAGCTTCACTCTGCATTCTCGACTTCTACAGCGCAACATCACAAGACTGAAAGATCAAGGACTTCAGGACCGCCTGCCCCAATTTCATTCTCACTGATTGCTAAGCATCTGCTCCTGTGGTTTGGTTATTAGCTGCTGATCTGGGCAACATCTCAGAATCACCTGGCAAGTTTGACAAACTTCTGACCTCCAGTCCTGCTTTACTAAGTCAGAATCTTTGGGGGAGGAGGGAGTGGCAGCTTAAAGCTGTCACAGGATCTGACAGGGTGGCTGAGAATTGCAGAGCAGTTTCTCTCCTCTTCTAGAGCCCTGTTGCTACCCTAACCACTATGCTTCCCTTCCTCGCCTACCATCTTGGTGCACTGAGTTGAGGATGTACTCACTCAAACAACTGTTTGTTGAGGCACTCTGGGCAAGGAGGCCTAGAGGAATTAGCTGCCCCAAAGCAGCTCCCAGAAGCCCTGGGAATCAGCTTCCTGGCTGTCAGCTGCCCAGAGATGGCTGTCTGTCTATCTGAAAATGAGAGACTGAATGTGCTTACAGACAATGGCCAGACCACATATAAGGACAGAGCTCTGGCCCACAACCTGCAGTATCCCCCTCACCCCAGCCAGTCCCTCAATTACAATAAACAGTGCAGGAAGCCAGCCTGCTATGCACAAGACGTGCAGGAAGGTGGATTGCTATCTCTAGCAACAATCCAGAAAGCCAAACAATAAATAGCCAGGACTTTAATAACCAATAGCATTCCTAAATTTTGTCCCCGCCTCAACTTAGCACTAACTACAGAAAGCAAAGTAGGCACTGCTGGCCAGGATGCCCTGCTTCTAGTTAATTCTCATATTGGTTCCCTGTGCCAAAAGTCTCCAATCAGAGCATCTCTGAAGCCTTTCCTCTTTCCTGCTTTAAAGCTGTCCCTGCCTTTGAGTCACTGCTGAATGCAAGTGATCATGGTGGGCATCTGTGCTACAACAGGCTATGAGCAAATGGGCTTTGCTTTTCTCATCTGCCTGGTGGATTAGTCAGGGTTCTCCAGAGAAACAAAACCAATAGGACACATGTAGATGTACTCAGTGAGGGGTTGGCTTGTTTGATTATGGAGGCCAAGAAGTGCTACCATCTACTCTCTGCAAGATGGAGACGCAGAAGAGCTGGTGGGATGGTTCCAGCCTGACACCTGAGGACCAGGTGAGCCCAGAGAGTAAGTGTGAAGTGTGAAGGCCCTGAGTGCCAGTCTCTGGGTAGGAGAAGACAGACGTCCTTGCTCAAACACAGTACAAATCCATCCTTTCCCACTTCTTTGCTTTCTTCAGGCCCTCAGGGATGGGCTGGTGCCCACTCCCATTGGTGAGAGCAACCTTCTCTCTTACTCAGCTCCCTCAGATGCTTATCCCTTCCAAGATATCTCCACAGACACACCCAGAAATCGTGTATTAGCAGCTATTTGGACAGCCCCAGCCCAGGCAAGTTGACACATGAAATTAACCGTCACAAGGGGACTTCCGTAAAGACTCCACGTTTACAGAGATCCATGGGACTGAGAATGAATTACTTCCTTTTTGTTTTCTTGTATTCTGTTTCAGAGCATTTGCTTTCTTTCTTGAACATAGAGGACAACTGATTTCCTCCTTCAGCTCTTGCTCTCAAGTGTGGGGACTTTGTGTTGTGTGCATGACTGCTGTGCTTGTGACCCAGGGGACAAGTAGTGTTGTTGGCAGCCCAAGGCTCCTTCTACAGACAAAGGCTATGTCCAGACTTCTGAGGTTCTACTGCCGGGGAAATGAAGAACTTGAATAGAAAGTCTGTAATCTCATTGGCCATGGTTATGAGGAAGAAATGACACATACTCTTCCTTTTACGGACTAGAGGCTCTCAAATAAACTGATATTTGAACCAATTTTCCTCCATTAAGGAAGAGCTATAGAAAGAAGGAAGGAAAGGATGGTGGGCCCTATGCCTGCTGGTAGTTGTAGTTCTTGAAAATGGGACCCAGGACTCTGAACTTGTCAAATACTTGAAATGGATAGAGGAGCCCTTGCTGTGGTTTTTCTCCATTCCTCTCATCTCTCTTCCTGAGGGTGTGAAGGATGGAGACACATTTGAAAACCATTTCCTCAGGACACCATTCACTTGAGAAAAGCTGATTGAGATGTTTAAATGATGCCTTTCTTCTTGAAAAATCTTAGCAGTTTGCCAGCAGGCCTGGGGGCTTTATTATGGTAAGTGACTTTGCTGCCTATAAATCATAGCCCTAAGTAGCCCTAGGGAATGAGTTAAGCAGATCGCTTCAAAATATAACCATTACTTCTTCAATTATTAGTGGAACAATTGACTTCCATCCGCTCAGGGGACCTGCTGACCTGGCCTACAGCCCACTTTCCAGAGCCTTTTGTCTGGGAATTACAATTTTTACTCTAGTGCATGTTGTGTGGTATCAGGCCACCCTCAAACTTTTCATGGATCTTAACCTTTCCCTTCCATGCAGACCAGCTTGTCTAGCAATGGAACACAACCACTGTGGTGGATGCTTCCAGTGGTCTCCTTGCTCTACCCAGGCTCCTCTCCTGGTAAACATGGACGTGGTCATCCATGGTCATCGGCGACCCAGACTGCCTCCTGCTCATGCTCTGCTAAATCAACGGTATAGCTATTGTGCTTGTGGTCCCTGATGGCTGTAAGACTCTAGCCATCACATCCTCATGCCCATTCTCTCAAGGAAAAGGCCCAGAAGATTCCCATAACCATTTTGCTTATTTGTCATTGCACAGGAGTTAGCCTCAGGGCTATACCAAGATTCAAGGGAAGCTGGAAAATGTATCTTTCAGCTTGGTGGCAATATAAAGGTTAAACATTTCAGCACTACTGAAAATGTCAAGCTATAAATTGAGTTAAACTAGTCAGATGAAGAATTTGTACTAAGGGATTTTATGATCCCTTAAACCCTGTTATCCTGGTGATGGCAGGCTCTGGAGACGAGCACACTGCACCTGATAGTTCAGAGAACTTACACAGAGGAAGCTAGGTAGGAGAGAGGAGGCAGAGAAAAGCAGAGACCAAAACCCAGCAAGGGGCTGTGCACATCTAGGAAGTCATCAAGAATGGCCTCCAGCCCTAATGCAGTCTGACCTGTTGTGCCATCTGCCTACACCATTAATTCTGCACTCCAAAGAATTTGTACAACAAAAAATACGTTGCTTCAATGATGGGAAGGGAATGGGAAGTGGAGAATTTTAGATTCCTAAAAAAAGTTTTTCTGTCTCCCTATTCTCACTTTAGAAGGAAAGTGACTTTGAAATGACCAATCTGCTTTTAGTTCTTTTATTTTTGCTCTCTTCAGCTGTTCTCTGTCTATAAAACTGATCTCTTCTGCCCAGTGCATCCGAATGCTTATTTTATTTCATGGAATGAAATGTTGCCTGACTCTAGAATAGAAAATAAAGCTAATTAAAACTATTAAGCTAAATTGGTGTAAGTTTGTTCTTTGACAGTAGCTAAAGAGTAAAATCTAAACATCACAGAGCAAATCCAGCATTTGGTGACTTCTGGTTTCGGTTTAAAAATATTTTCTTTTCTTTTCCCATCACCAAAGTGAAATGCTTTATGTACTCTTATATTTTTATCTCCTTTGTATAGTTGTCATCTATTGCTAGGACAACCCAAGGCACAACTACAGAAAAAAGCCCCAGTGTTACTTTTGCAGCAGTGTTGTCTTATATAGTGCTACCTCCTGCACACTTTATTAGTTCCTGGTCGTGATCTTCCTATAATTGATGGAGACCTCATTAATGCCGATTTTGTTCTCTCATAGAATTGAGTTATGGCCCAAACTTGTATGCTAGAAGTAAAGCCTGTATTTAATTTCCTGTCTCTGGATTCTATAGGGAAATGTTTTACCATCATTGCTTTTTCTCCTCCAGTCAATTTAAGTGGATTCTCTTCTTTCAACCAAAAAAACTTTGTCCAAATCACTTATTTAAGAAAAAAAGTGGATTGCTGTGATGGAGAAAGAAGAGTTCAACCATCCACTACACCTGCAGAATCAACCGATTCTGCAAATGATTCTGCAAAGAGACATCAATAACAGCAAAAGTAATTTAGGCTCTGTGGGCCATGCAGTCGATGACTTGACTCTCCACGACTCTACCACTGAGGCTGTTATAGACAATGTGCAAAGAAATGGCTGTGTTTGTTCCAGTGGAACTGCATTCGCAAAAGCATGAGTTGTAGTTTGTCCATGTTAGTCTATAAGCCCCGGACGGGCAGGGACATGTCTGACTTATTTACACTCAGCTGGAGACACCAAGCCTGGAATTTCCTGACATTTGTTGAATGACTGGGTGAGCAGGCTTTTAATGCAACATCAATGAACAGATTACCCCAGCTTAAATTTGGGGAAAAAAATAGCCCCATTCCACAAGATTGCTCGTTATCCTCCTGACTGTAAAAATCTGTCTACCTCTACAGTCTCAGAGTTTGACTTCACCACCACTAATAGTACCTTCAGGACCTCAGGCAGCTGAATTATCTAACCAGCTGGAAACAAAAGACCAGAGAGGACTTTCTTGGGAGTACAGCCATGGTGTCTGTGCCCCACCCGGGTCTTAAGGCCCCCCTGGTATTGGTCTGTTAAGCTGAGATCATTAGTAGAAGGTGCTGCCTGGTATGTGAACAGCTTACAGCTTTATCTCTTCCGCTTTTGTGTTCTCCATAACTCCAGGCCTGTCTCGTTTGGGATTTTCCAGCTGCAAGAGGAGCAAAATAAAAGATGAAAACATCAGGCTCGTATTTGGGAGCTGCTTTGGCTGGAAAGTTTCCTGCTGAGGCGCCTCCTTTCATCACCCTTTCACCTGGACCCCTGCGTTGTGCTGTCCAACTGGCCACCAGCAGCATTTTTCCTGTATCTGGTCTTCCCTTGGCTGGTTATTAAAGTTACCTGGGCGGCTTAAAATAAAAGCAAACAACTAATACCCATGCCCACCTCCAGACCAGGAGGACTGGAAGGTCTTAAATGGGCATGACAAGCATCAGTATTTTTAAAGCGTCCCTACCATACCATCATTATTTTAATATGCACTGAGGTTAAAGAACCACACGTCTAGATTTCTAGCCCATGAGAATTGCCTGGTGAAGTTTCAGTTTTTCGTTTTTTGTTTTTTACGAGAAATGCTGGAGCCCTGTTCCAGACCTCATCAATTAAAATCTCACAGGGTGTGGGACCTGGGAGTGTGCAGTTTTAAAAGCTTTCTGATGAACAGGAAAGGCTGGGGACAAGGCACTAGGCTTTGCCAAGCACATACTGTGGTAATTTGGACTTAGTTAACCTCAGCACGCCTGGGCTTCCCATGGGCTGTAGAGAGAACTTGGGTTGGGACAAAGGTGGATGGTGAACTCTGGCCTGTGCATGGTGATCCGGCCCACCCAGCTTGGTCCCAAAGACCTGTGGCCTGGGTGCTCAGCCTGTCACATCTATGCTAGGACACCAAGCCTATCTATGCATTAAGGCTGGTGTTGGGAGGCCTGAAGACTTGTGCCCATCATAGCTGGGGTAAGTTTTGTGGATGTGGCTCCTTTTCCTCCCTCAAGGGTACATGGCTGTTAACCTCTCTTGATCACTGAAAATGTCTTTGCTTTGACCCATTTATAATGTTGTGTTAGCTGTGTAGTGAATTTTAGGTTTGAAATGATTAACTTGGATTCTTGAAGATGTGATTCCATTGTGTTCTGGCTTTAATTGTTGCTACCAAGGATGAGCTGTCAGTCTCATTTTTTACTTTTGGAGGTAATTGACTTTTTTCTTTTGTTCTGCAGTTTATCTTTAAATAATGTGTTCAGGTACATATTGACCTTTTTTTTAAATTTTTTTTTCTTTTTAGTACTAGGGTCTTCATACTGAGCTACATCCCCAGTCCTTATTTTGTTTGTTTGCTTGCTTGCTTTTGAGACAGGGTCTTGCTATATTGCCCAGTCTGGGCTCAAGCTTGTGTGATTGTGTGATTTTGTGATCTTCCTGCCTCAGTCTCCTAGAATACCAAGAAGTAGCTGGAGACAAATTCTAGGTCAAATCCCAGGGACCTGCATTCTGCCAGGCCTCGCCTCACATTCTGCCAGGCCTCGCCTCACATTCTGCCAGGCCTCTGCTGGGATCAGTGCAGTCAGCTCTGAAGTCATCAACAGACTGATCCACTGCTAAGTGCACCACTGCCATGATGCAGTCACCTTCCAAAGCTCCATTTCTGGACTGGAGACTTTTGGGGGACATATTAGATCTAAACCCTAACAGGGACTTTGCCAAGAGCAATTTCAGTGGGCATTAACAAGTGGAAATTAAACTTCAAGCCGGGTGGTGGTGCACGC